AGATGCCGGGTGGCCAAGATGAATCTCCGGAGGCAAGAGGACCCGGGTGCTATGGAGTTGAGCTACTCAGTCCTGCAGTTTTGTGTCAACAGCACATGACCCAACTCAAAAAACTGCTCCAGTCTTCTAGGGCACCTGATGCCAGGATGTGCCCACAGAAAACAGATGCGTCCCTACAGTGTTAGCCACAGAAAACCACCAGCGTAGCTCCAGAACCGAATGAAGTCACACCAGCACAAGAGGACAGGTCTATCCAAAATCTTTATATAAATTCATAAATTCTGTTGAAAGTGTACAAACAGTCTGAACTGACTGGAACAAAAGCGACATTTTTGTTTTCCATGAATAGTCACTGTACAATTCAGAGAAGGTATTCAAAGAAACTGAACTGGGTTGGTTGGAGAAAAAATACTGTGTCACATGAAAAACAATTCACGGTTGAAAGGAAACCCTGTTGTGAATGAGTCAAATATCTGCCACACAGCCACCCCTTCCCTAACAGTACTAAGCTCCTGCTTTGATTTATAAAATGCACACATTTCCAAAACTGCTCAACTTTTCCACTTATAAATTAATTCACAGGATTCATGCAGTTGCTTTTTAGCTTCAACTCAATATTAGCAAAGATAATGCAAAACGATCCCCTTATAAGCAACAAAATGACCTTCCTTCCTAAAGAAAAGGTGACACTAGCTACTTCCACTCATTCCCTCTCCTCTGAAAAGTCTGTGATGTCATTAAAGAGGAGCGGCTTCCTCTGTAAGCCCAGGACTAAGCCTGCTGTGGGCTGCTCTTGCCTCATTCACAGACTGATCAGCCTCAAGGAACTGGGGTCTGGAATGTCTTTTGGAACCAGAAAGTATGCACAGGTGATGAACAACTCAAGGGTGTCCACCCTGGTTTACTGCTCAGAAGGGAGGGCCTGTGAGCCACACACACCTACTGGGGCCTTACAGTTTGAGTGACTGGTCAGCAGACAGCATCTGGGACACGTCAGACACAGGTCTCGGTCTTCCAACAATATCTACTTTGCCATATTTCATCCCTTTTGTTGAAGAAAATGGAAAAGAAAGGGAAATGGAGCTGCCAGTAAAAATCATTACTCCCCTCCCATCTCACATCCCAGTTTTCCAAACCCTTGCTCCCTTTTGACAAAATGGCACTTAAATGACCTTTGTCTCTCCTTGCACCAGTGAAAGAAAGTAAGTTTGCAGAAACTCATGGTTCAGAGAGACTGCAAGCCCAGCAAGCAAGGCTACTGGTGCAAAGGTCAGAACCGTTCAAGTAAGTGTCACGCCAGCTTCCGGATACCTCCAAGGCTTGACTTCTCTTCCTGGAGACGGCTAAAGCACGTTCCAGCCAATTTCCTACCCGGAAACAGGTGGGAATAGTCCACGCATCATTGAAGGCTAAGCAGCCTCAGGTCAGTTTTTTTTTTTATAGCTCTTTGGGCAACATGAAAAAAAAGCAGGATCCCTGTCCTGTGTTTATGATTTTCCTACATGTGAACCATGTAAATTCTATGTTACGCCAAGTAACTTAGCTTTATTAAACTGTACTTTTCTAGGACCAACACTGAATGAAATGGATTACCAAAAACTTCCTACGGGAGCTTCCTCACTTCCCTTGTAGTGAGGAAAACAGTGGCAAAACTTCAAGTGTCAATTTCCCTTTTTTTTGGAGGAAGAGGTTTAGAAAACACAACAGCTTGCTTTCTGAACCCCAGTTTTTTCTGAAATGAACTTGAGGCAGGGAAAATTATTTACAAAAGTGGGCATTCCTTAAAGACAAAACCGCTAATCCTGGAAAAGCCCAGTGAAGGAGATGCTGAATGGAGCGTGGCTGCGTTCTTAGGCTAGAGGCCAGAGCCCAGCATCTCACGTCCCTGACTTCTTCACACCAGAATGCAGTGGGGCTAGAGCAGAGCCCATGGGAGCCCCAGGGGCCTGCTCTGTGTGCCCAGAGAGCTGTGCCAGGGACTGCAGGTAGAAACCCAGCTTCCTGGACCAACTCTGCCAGGAAGCTATTCTCCTGAGAGAACAGAGCAACTTGGCAAGCTTTAAAGGCGAGGGTTTTCATTCTTTTAATTAAACAGGCTGTGATAAAATTAACAGTGAAACTGGCACAGAACCAACCAGCCCCCCATCTCGACGTGCAAATCTTGCAGTAACAGAAGGCCATCCAGAGGCTACACGTTGGTCTCCAGTCCCAGCAGACGGCCCATCCTCTCCACGTTCTTGTCAATGGTCGTCTGACATGTTATCTCCTTGGCACATTCCATAGGGAACCAGCCTCTTTCTCCATCTCGAAGCCGCTCCCCCTCATACCAGCCTGCAAGGAAGAAGAGAGTCTGCACCCAGCCAGACGCAGGGGGTGGTCTGAGGAAGATGGGGGACCATTCAGGTTCAAGCAGGGTCTGGCTGCAGGCTGGGAGCCCTGGTCATGAAGGTGTGTGAGTAGAGGTGAGAGAGAAGGAAAAGTTTCAGGACAAGATGAATGGAGCTGCTGGGAAGGGACAAGAGCAGAGAGCCCTGGAGGTAAGGAGGTCCAGGGAGTCTGAGAGCTTGGGCGGGGCCAGGGCAGGGAGTGCTTTGGGAAGGAACAGCACAAGGCAAGGTGGGGAGATGGTGGCGGGGGAGTTGGTTCTTTTGAAAGTAAGGAAGACCCTTTGGAGAGAACTAGGTCGCTGGGGATGGGAAGGAAACTTCTTGTGCCTGTGTCCCAATTCAAAAGCAAATGTGTGGATAATTGACCAGCTGTAGCTAGAGGGGCGGCAGGTAGCTCAAGAGACATTTCAGAAGCTACATAAAAACTTTGGTAAAAGCTTTCAACTGCATCAGTGCCCCCAAACACCTGTCATCTTTAGGGCCTGAGAAGCCTCCAATGCAGGAAATGAAATCTCAGGAGAGAGAGAAGGAATAAGAATGGGGAGGAGGCAGCGGCAGCCTTGGAGCCGGGTGGCAGCCGGGGCTCATTCCCGTGCTGGGGTTTGCCATGTAGCTAGATAAGGCTCCTCGTCTGCACCAGTGCCCAGGTGCCCGGGAACACCCCACTCACCATCACCCACGCGCTGATAGATGAGGACCACATCGGCCACCTGCAGGGAGAGCTCATCTGGCTGCTTGGCTGTGAAGGACCTGATGACTTCCACCTGGGTCAGTGCTGGGGAGAAAGGACACACTGAGCTTGCAATGGCAGAGCAGCAGCAAGCTGTGGATACAGACTAGACCCAGCCTTCACCAGCTCCGGGCGGCCCTAAGGAACACAGCTGGGAAGCGGAAGCTCTGTCCTACTCAGGAACTGCAGAAGCTCAGACTCCAGAGCACCTGTGCTGCCTGAGAACCTCTTCCCCTGGAGCAGGAGTCACTAGTCATGTCACACATGAACAGAAAATGGCCACTGTGCCCTGTGTAAACTGAGGCGAGAGATTAGGTGACATGCCACAGCCATGCAACTGACGGTCAAGTCAGCAGCTCCCAGTGCTCTGGCTCATCCAGAGTGAGTCCCCATCCCACCAGGAGCAGCGCGTGAAAGCGACAACCTCTAGGAATCATAAGAGCGCCAACCAGAGGCATAGGGGACATTTCCAGGTTTCCTTCCCCCATGCTGATGCATGACACAAAACCACACCCCAGCTATGCACTGCTGGGTGACAGGGCTTCTTCCTTCACTTGCAAATATGAAATCTGACTTCAGGCTGATCCATTGGGCTTTGACTCTGTCCAAAAGCTGGTTTTTTGATACTCCAGCTAACCTGTTTTGATGACTTAATTCTTTGGATTTGACCCTCTTTCAAACAGAATCATCCCTAATGCCAAAGTTAAGGAGCTAAAAATAAGCACAGGACACCACCCTTTACGGCAGTGGCCCCCAGTTCTCAGGAAAAAAAGAGCACATGTTCTTAATTTTACCATGTAACAGAGGTCAAAAGGAATCTTTAGGTTGAAAACTTCCTGCTTGGATCCCAACTGTTGCTATGGAGATGACTAAACTTGGGACATGCCCATTCACTAAAGCCAGTTCAAGCAGGGGATTCACTCCACCCTCCCAGAAACCATGTGGAAGGAATATAAATGATGTTCTTGACTTGCAGATGACTGAACAGGCTCAGGAAGGACACCCAGGGAAGCAAGGAAGCAAGAGGTGGGGGTGGAGACCACCCATGGCCCAGCGCCCAGCAAGGGACAGCCCCTCCCACTCCCAGCAGGCTGCCTCAGGGACTTACAGGTTCGGTCTGGAGGCTGCTTCCCGCTGCTGTGTCCCAGGGCGGTGATCCAGCGAGCCCGCTCACTCCTGAATAGGCAAACAGTGAGGGTTAGGGCGCTGGGCAGATGGCCAGAGCTCCAGACACCCCGCCACGCCCATTCAGAAAACGCTCCGGGAGGGGTGGGAGGCTGGCCTTCAAAACAAGCAATGTAAGGGCGACAGTCCCAAATAAGCAGAAAATCTCATCATCAAAGGTCCCTCATGGTTCAGCTCTTGTTGGCTAAATGGCATTTCTCAGGTGACAATCTGCCATTCAGTAAAGGGCTGATGACACCAAGACATCACAGACATGGAGCACCCTCCTAAATGGGTGTTCATTGTCTCCAAAGGTAAACCTCATGTTTCACAAGGACCTGATGACTTCCAGGTCAAGCCCTGTCCATGGCTTCCCTCCCCTCACACACAACCCCCACCCCCAGGGAAACAAAGAGTGGACACTCAGCATGGTATGTTGTGAGAGGGACAGGCAGCTAAGTATGACCCTTTCTGGAATAAAATGGCTTTGACTCTATTTAGACTCTTCTCCAATGCTCTACAAGGATTTCATGAGTACAGGAAAAGAAGAAGAAGAAGAAAAAAAAAAGGTACCTAAGACTTTTAAAAATACAGGATGTAGTTATAATTACATGAAATAAGACAATGAACTGACACTGAAAATTCCCCGTGAGTGAGCCCTGCTCCCTAACAATCAGCCCCAGCTTTGTATTTTGAAAATAAAACCTCAAATCACAACTAATTAAACCACACAAATGCACACTTCAACACCCTTTAAGAAGCACACATTAAACCCACGGGTCAGTGCAGGCACCACTGGCCATATCCCAACGTAGGGGACGTCCAGTGTTCCCTACACCCTCCCAAGAGCCTGAAGAAGGAGGCTTTGGCCAGGTGGAAGTTCTGAGCAACCCTAACTGGGCCAACCTCCAGGGTGACACTCCTCCTGCTTAGGAAGGGACCGCCGCATGGTTGACTGCTTCATGCTCATGCATGGGAAGGCGTTTTCTGTCATTATCGCCTGCCTATCTCTAAGTCTCCTGACACTGCCACCCACCCTCACTCCCCCATGGGCATCCCCCTGCCGTGCCAGGCAAGCAGCTCACCAAGGGGCCCATCACACCTGTCACCGCCCGTTCCTTACTGCAGAGCCCGTTCTTCTCCCTGCAGAACACGACACTACGCTGTCAGCAGGCCTGACTCTGACTGCTCACCTAGAGAGGTGAGTACCCTGCTCTGGATCCAAGAGGGGGTATCCCCAGCAGGTGCTTGTGAAACAAGGGGGTCACGTAAGGACCTTCTCTCTCTGACAGACGCTCAATTCAAAGGGAACAGGCTGGGCCCTGCCAGGCTGGCATATGGAGCTATAATCTACAGACGTTCTATGGACAATAACGGCCTACCCAGCTTGGGAAAGCCTGGCCTCTGTCTGTAGGCAAAGGGCTTCCCAGTGGTTCTGCAGGGTCCTCCCCCAGAGGACCACTGCCTCCTGCCTCCGCGTGGCCACAGAACCTGGGAGCGACATGAGCCAGGCCCTGCACAGCCCCAGCCCTGTGTCTAGTGGCCTCAGCCTGCTGTGGGCCCAGCCAGCCAAAGGGAACGGTCCACTGTGTGGCGTGCTGCCTGGATGCCCACGGCATCTCATAGTCACAGCAGCCCCTCCCAGGGCCCAGGAGAGAACAAGACGCTCCTTGTTGCCCTCGCTGAAAGGAGCCGCTTCTTGAAACAGCTCCCAGGGAGTCAGTCCTCCCCCTCGGGAAGGCTGTGGGAGCCAAGGACTCCTCAGGCCTTAAAGCCCGCCCAGGAGCTCTCTCCCACCCCACAGGGGGAAGCTCAGCATCTGAGACAGGGCAACCGCTCGCTGTGAGATCAAACTCCAAGGACAAGAAGAGCAGGCGCAGATTGCTCATTGCCACTTCAGATGTCACATCCACAGCTGGCCAACAGGCACCTGCTTCTCCAGGGACACTGCAAGGATGGCGAGGAATGTGCTGTTGAGTGCACGCCCAGCTGACATTCTCCTTGAAGCCATGCCGATGCCCATCCCATCCCAACTGCCACTGCTCCGTCCCATCCGTCCCTCCTTCCACCAACATGCTCCGAGCGCACAGGCCTTGTGCCAGGCTGGGGGCGCCAGGGGAACAAAATGGGGTCTCTTGCTTGTCACAGCCCTCGATATGGGGAGGAGAAAACAACTCATACGGATGCTAATCCCACCTGCAATGTGTGGGACAGAGCCCTCTGCCCAAGGCATGTGCGGCGGAAGGGAGAGGCCGAGTGGAGAAGGGCCTCTTTTAAGGACAGGCAGCACAATCCTTCCAGCCCAGACCTGTGTGAGGTGGTGCCTCCAGCTTCTGAATCCAGAGTGACCAGCAGAGGCACCTTGTCCTGCCCTGCCAGACCAAGAAGAGCAGCAGGTTTAAACTGAACTGCTCGAGGGCAGAAGAGGGGGAGGCCAAGGCCTGACTACAGACAGGCCTCTGCTAGGAAGGTGCACTGGGGAGGTGGGAAGGGGTTCTAGTGACAGAGGCAGGACTTCCCAGAAAGAGCCCAGGACCCAGGGGAGTGTTGGAGGAGGACGTCCCACCCTAGGCGAGGGCTTCTCAGAGACCCTGCTGACCCCAGCCTCCCTTTCATCCTCCTACAGTGGCACTGGTCAGTTATTCCTTGCATTCATCGTCCTCACAGCCTGCAGGTGAGCTGTGGTTTCCTAGGACACGTCTACACCCCAGGCCTCTGGGGACACGCCCTCTGGAGCACGAGGAGTGGAGCTGGGAAGGTGGCCTCGTCCATTCCTCCACATGCCAACAGCTCCGTGAACTGACCTGGGAAGAACACTCCCAGGTGAACACGTCACCGTGAACCCGAGACACACCCCACAGAACCGGAGGCAGGCTCACTTTACCGCATTTAAACAATCCCACCCAAGCCAATGAGCCTCCCTAGCCACCAAAAGGAGTTCTAGGCTGAGATCTTCGATGTGCTGCAGCTAAAGCAATCACTCCACCAGTCACCCTGGGCTGGGTCAATTACCTGTTGGTAAGTGATGAATACCCTCGCTCCCTCCCAGCAAATGGGAATGAGCAGCCTGGTGTGACACTGCCCCCTAAAATGAATGCCTTCCATATAAACTGTCTTGTGCATTCTGTGCTTCTTCTTAAAAGACAAAGGAGAGGACTGTGTCTGGCAGAGCACCGACAACTTTCCTCCATCCGGGTTGCTTCCTGTTGTTAATTAAGTCATTAGCAGAAGCAGGAAGCGCACAAGACTCCCTGGGAACAATGCCCCTTCATCAGCAGGCACGGGGCTGGAGGGTGAAGGCCCAGCCACCCTGGCCAGGCTCCGTGCTCTGTGAAAGAGCCCCTGAAGCAGCAGCTCTGGTCATGGGTTGAGGTCATGGGTTGAGGCGACAGACCTCGGCTGAAGGAAGCCTGGGTCCCTCTGGAGCCTGTCCTGGGTGCCCATCCTTTTCCACCACCGGAAAAGCAGGAAGCCAAGGACGCCACTGTCCACGCCTGTCCCCCTGCCCCCACCCAGGGCAGCCCAGTGGGCTTCCTTTTAATGAAGGCAGACACAGGGGCTCCCTCTCACACATTCCTCCTGAAAAGCCCCTGAAAAGGCACGACAGAGCAAACAGGCTCTCTTTGTCCTTCTAGGAAGGGTGAGTTGTTTTTTCTCCCCAGACTCCTGTCTCATTAGCAGCACAAAGACTGAGGACTGGGGACAGAGGGGTAACAGCATGCATGGCCTAGCCACACACACCATAGCCCAGCTGAGGGAGAGGAACAAGTGGCACTGGGGGAAGATTGCTCAGCAACAATAGAAAGGGCAGCACACAGATCGACCCACGTGGCCACCATCCTACCTGTCCTGGAGGCAGAAAAGCCAAGTATGCTAATTTGGGGTCAATTCCAAAAATATGTACTGGGAACCTGCTACGTACAGATCAAAAAGGAGGGGTGCAGAATGGAGGTGAGACTGGGGATGAGTACCAGAGCAGCCCAACCAGAGGAGGATGGTGCTCAGCAGGCCTCGGGAGGTTGGAGACAAGAGCCTGGGAAATGGGTGGTAGAAAGAGGTAGAAGATGTGGCAGAATCCCCCTGCCCCCACCTGTGAAGGTGGCCTCCTCCATTCCTTCACGCGCCAACAACTCCATGAACTGACCTGGGAAGAACACTCCCAGGTGAACATATATAGAAGGACTGGCAGAAGTTGACTATGCAAAGAAGCATCAAAAATGTTTCCAAATCTCCAGGCTGGGTAGCTAAGAGCAGGCCAAGGTGTGACACCTGGGGCTGGAATTCCCCCAGAGGCAGGTGCTGTTGGGATGGGGAGAAACTGGGAGGTGGCCCTAGCTGGAGGAGCCCTTGCTGGGCGCATGCCTTTGTAGTGTTACTGTATCCTGCCCCAAGCTCTTTTTCTCTCTCTTCCTGGCCACCCCTGCTCCCTGCCATGAAGTTCTGCCTCACCACAGTCAGTTACTATGGACTGAAAGCTCTGAAACCATGAGCTATAACACCTTCCTCCTGTAAGTTGTTTTACTCAGTTGTTTTGTCACAGTAATAGAAAGTTGACTAACACACAAATGGTACATTTACAGACGTGTGCATTAGGGAACAGAGTGGGGCTCGGTTTTTTTTTAAAGGGATGCTTTAGGCAGTACTGGGGATCAAACCAGGGCCTCATGTGGACTAGGCAAGTGTTCTGTCACTGAGAGACATATTCAGTCCTTCTCATTTCTTATGTATGTTCTTATGTTTTTCTTTTTTATTGATATTTTTTATATGTGACAGCAGAATGCATTACAATTCATAGCACACATATAGAGCATAATTTTTCATATCTCTGGTTGTATATAAAGTATATTCTACCAACTGAGCTATATCCCCAGCCCCTTCATTTTTCATTTTAAAAGAAGGTCTAAGTTGCTGAGGCTGGCCTTGAACTTGTGATCTTGCCCCAGCCTCCCAGGCTGCTGGGATTACTGTGCCTGGCTATATTTCTGGAGGGGAGAAAGGAAAGAAGTGGCTGCAGACGGGGAGGTGAGCCATGGGAGCACAGATAAGAAGCTGAGAAAGGGAAATCTTGATGCGGGCGTGGAAATGTCTGCTGGTTGGCAGCTTCTCAGTAAGGCTAAGTGCCCTACTAGACAGCAGGGCTGCGGGGGCCGCCTGGCACACCCTGACGCTTACCAAGCGCTGGTGGAGCCTGGTGATGGTGCCTTCACTGCTCACATAAGCAAAGCCACTGCACTGTGCCCCAGCTGACCCTCTCAAGGTGCTCAGCTGTCCTGTGCAAACAGCCACAGGACAGGCTGTGGAGATCACACCCCTGCTCATCCCAGGTGCATACTGGCCCCCCCTGCCCCGCCCCTCGGACAGTTATTCAAAAGCAAATAGGGAGCTGTGCATCCCATTCCTTTTCAGGCCATGGAATCAGGCCAAAGGGTAAACACTCCACCCTGGAGTTCAGCTGTCACTCCAGCCAGCAGGGCACTGCCAGCCTTGCCTTCTCCACCAGGTTGCTGCTAGATGGTATTAATCAAAACGGACCCAGAGGCACAGAATCCCTCCAACACACATGCGCATCCACACACCTCACAAGCTGGGAAACACGGAGCACGTCCTACCCAGACCAAGCCTCCTGCTCAAAACCAGGCAGCCCAGACCACAAGTAATGGAAATGTGTGAGGAGATAAGTACACTTGCTCTGACTGAAACATTCTGCAATGTATGCACACAGTGAGCACCACCTGGTGCCCCGTGAGTGTGGACCATGCTCATGTTTTTATGTTATTAGTTAGAAAAAAAAAGAAAGATGCAGAACTGGCCTGCCGATGTCTGATCATGATGTACAACTTCCTATGCTTTCAAACAGCACCCGCCCCCCTTTTTTTTCCCCAGAAAAGCACATCTTAGCTGTAATATATTTCCTTTCGATATCAGAGCCTTTTTTGTGTCTTGTAAGCATTTGTTTCTCAACTGCCATTGAGGGTAGAGGAGGGGAGGAGAATGACAACTCCCCTCCTCTGTACCCAGGGAGACCTCTGCCCCTTCTGGAATGTTCTCTTGCTAGTAATTAAAGAACTTACAAATATGAGTCACAGCCCTGGGCTCACAGATGACATGCTAAATATTCTGAGAGCATGTCTGATTAAGGAAATGAACAAACCACTCCAAAGCGAGAGGGCAGAAAATGTGAGTGTCCCAGGAAAGCCAAGCTGTCGTAGAAAGGAGCAGACATGCCAGTCACCTCCTCGGAGCCAGCCAAGAAACAAGTGGTGGGATTTCATCCGTTATAAATGGGACAGTCAGGCGCACTCTGCCGATGTCAGCGGAGCCTGAATGAAGAACAAAGGGTCCCTGTAAACAGACCCAGGGACTTTCACCATCACCAACTTGAGAAGGGGCTTCTCTAGTTCCTGAGAATTCTCTAGAAGGTCCACACAGTCCTCCACAGTGGTTAAGCCTTTTTATCCTCAAAGTCATAAAATCCAAAGCTCAGATGTTATTAATTCCAATTTTAAAAGAGATTCCCCCCAAACAAAGGAAGCCTGGCTCTGTTTCTCCTGGCTAAAGGCTTCAGTCACTTGTGGAGATGAAGCACTGCCCTGGCATGTCCCACACAGGTCACCTAAGGACAAGGAGCAGCAGAGTGGCGCTCACGGTTCCCGGGGAAGAGCCCAGGGACCCCAGGAAAGACGTGTGTGCTCTGTAAGGAAGCCTGTCGGGGAGAGGCTCCTCCTCATGCCTGCCTCAAGTGCATGGGGAATCTCCTTCAGCCCTGCCTCAGCCTGAACCCCCGGTTTTCTCCACCCTAGAAGTTACTCCTACTGCCAACAGTAAGGAAATGACCAGGTAACATTGTATGTGGACGCCTTAATATTTTCACTTTCCTAGTGTCTCTCTTTCATACTCAGGAACACGGTAAGACCTCTCTCAAGAGTGGAGATCTCTCTGAGATAACCCTAGTCTGCTAGTCTGAGCCTGTGGTCGACCAGCTTGACCATCCACTCCACCCACCCCACCTGGGGGCCTTGGCAGAGGTGGGAACCTGAGAAAACAAAGGAGGGAGGAAGCTCCTCCTCAGCTGCACCTGACCCTCCTTGACACCTGCCTAGGAGGACTTCTGCAGGGAGGCCTCCTCCCAGGCAAATGAACTGGTTGGCTGTCCCTCAAGGGCCAAATCGCCAGGTGGACCAAATCGCCAGAGCTGGGTGGGCCGCATGGTCAACTGGTGACACAGAACTCCCCTGTGGCTCTGCCTCCCCACACAGGGTCCATAGGCCCTTTCCACCCGGGTGCCTCTCCTGACAGAGGAGCTGGGCATTCTGTGGACCAAAGCCAGGTGACAGGAAAGACTTCAGCCCCAAGAAAAAGACTTACAGTGTGGACTAAACTACCACTGAGCACGATTCCCTAAGCCTGAGGCTTCATACTTTCATCAATAAAAAAATGATTTTGAAACCCACTATAGACATAAAATTCACACCAACTAAAGCACAATGTATCCGCTGGAACTTACAGGGGCAAAAATAACATCCCTCCTTTGACATACTGAGAGGAACACAAAGGGGAAATGTCCCCAGTGCCACCCTTGCACACAGTAGGTACTCAATGACACAACAGGTGCCAATTCACACATGGTAGGAACTCAACAACATAATGGGTCTGTGCTTACACATAGTAGGTACTCTACAACATAACAGGTGCCCTCCTCACACAGCACACACTAGGTACTCGACAATATAACAGGTGTCCTCCTTACATAGCACACACTAGGTAATCGACAATATAACAGGTGCCCTCCTCACATAGCACACACTAGGTACTCAACAATGTAATGGGTGCCCCGCTCACACATAGTAGTTACTCAGGTGAAGACACAACAGGAGCTCCCCTTTCCAGCAGACCTCCCGGAGTATACTCACTGCGTCTCGGCTCCCAGCAGCATTTCCACTTTCTCATTTGCGTGGTTACTCAGGACCGTCAGGGTGAATAGGTGACTAGCGGAGCTCTGTCGTGAATACAGCATGGTGGAACTGTTCTTCCCTGGAGAGGAATTGAGGTCTTCATTGTCACAACATTCCACCAATAGCTGATCTCTTAAGGAATAATCGTTGACGTTGTAACTTTCCTCACTATAAGGAAACGGGAAAAAGACGTGTTGATTACGCTGGACGAGGCGGTGACGCGGTCAGCTTCCCAGTCACATTTTGGGAGGAGGAGAAGGAGAAAGACCTAATTTACAGTGTGAGTTGGAACCTCAATAACATCTGCTGACTGTGAGCCAAGGTGATCCCCCTCAATTAAGCCTGAGTTATTACTGTAATTATAACAGTCTAAATGGCCTCTGGGGTGTAAGGGCAGTGTTTAGAGTCTCAAACGCTCTAGGTGTCATCAGATGTCATCCTGGAACTGTTCTGTGAATGAGATCACCATGCCTCCTGGTCACGCTCCACAGCGCACTCCCCCCAGGATGAAGAGGAGCCACGGGCCTGGCAGGCACCCTGCCTCCCAAGGGCCGCACAGAGGAGGGAAGCAGAACCCCAGAGGCCTGCCCCCTCCTGGCCCAATGCCCAGCCCTGCTCTCCCACCCTCCCCGCCTTGGCACCTGCTCCAGAAGCCACGGGTTTAACCCTGCCATGCCCTGAACCTGCTCACCCCAGCACCCCAGGGTCCTCCATTCTGGGACTCTCTTCCCACCCACTGTGAACCTGCCTAGTCTAGCGCCCACTCCCTCAGCAGCTAGGCTGCTCCAAGCACCCCCCTGTGGTGTCCCCTGGGAGTGCCCTTCCTTGGGGAATTGGTGACAGCTCCCGACTCCTCAGCATCTTCCCTAAGTGCAGTTCTCTGGTAGGCACTACACCCCGACCACTCTCTGCAGTCTGCTTTCCTCCTGGCTCCTAGACAACGATCGATCCTCCTCCCGAGAAGACCTCAGCTCTGATGCTGCTGCCACCCCCACAACCCGAGTCCCTCCCCACGAGTGTGGTGTCACAGTCTCCTTCCTGCATGACAGAGCACTACCTACATCATCCCTGAATTTCCATGCAGAGGGCCCTACTGTCACCTGGTCTCTTAGTTCCTTACTTCATCATCCCAATGACCTTGTCCTCTGCTCTACGTCAGTCACCTTGTCACCGCCGACTGCAACCTCTCCCTCCAGCACACAGTCTTCACCACTCACCCCTGTCCTAACCCCCAGTTCCACAACCCACTGTCTGCCACTGTTCCCCTCCTCGGATCTCCTGTGTCCTCTGATCAAACACAGGGACCGATTCTTGGAACTTAGCCGTGATCACTCCTTGCACACGTGCGTGTCCCTACGCTGTGTGTGCCTGGTGAATCCTGGTTGCACACTGCTCTCCTTCCGTTCTGCACCCTGGCAGCTGGACGTGGGAAAGCTCAATGGACAACTGTCAAATAAAAGGACAGATTCAAAACATTCTGACCCTCTTCTCAGAACACTGAAGCATTACTCTACTTAATAACCAATGCAAATACATGAACTCAGGGAAGCTGAGGGAAAATAAGATTCCTTGTGCCTGGTCAAATGTACTAGGAATTTCAGAGCAAGCCCCTTTGTTCAAGAGATTTTGGAATTTCTTTTATTCCATGAGGGTACCTTCCAACCACTCCCTTGCAACTCTCTTTGAAAAATGTTATCTTTTTTAAAATTTAGATAGACTATCCCCTCACAAAACAGCAAATGCCGTCATTATCTATAAAAGCCAAAGACTGCTTTCTGATGAAGACTATTGTTGCTCAGGTAACAAGTGACATAATGGGAACTTCCCATGGCATCTTGTGTCCAGAGCCCTCCTCAGCACTCCCACTCGGGACCCGCACTTCCCATACCCAGAACCAGGTGCATCTGGCACACAGATGCTTCTAGGAGAAGAACAGGCCACATGGAAAAACACTCATGGTTGCATTTCTCAAGGATCTCCTTCACCAGAAGCAAAGTAGGTGATGTGAAGTTTGTAACGTCCTGAGGATTTAACAGACAGGATTCGACAGTTCGAGACACAGGGTGAAAACCGAAAAGAAAAAAGGCTTTAAAAATTAGCAAAATCTCAAGCAACAATAACATCAAAAGCAAGTGAGAAAGAGGAGGAATGGGGGTTTTCTTGTGACTGTCCTCTCTCTGCACCTCCAAGTTACGCTTCTGCCCCAATTCACAAATTAAGAGAGAGGGCCTATGGGTCAAAAGTGGCCATTTTCTGTTAAAAGGAACCCTTCAGACAGAGAAACTGAGGACCTAAAACTGATATGGGCATCTAGGTAGGCCCTGAACACCACTGCATGGGTATCACAGGCACCTCCAAAGAAATAAGATCAAGGAGATGCACTAGCTGTCTTTCAGGATGACTGGAGTCCAAGAGCTCAGTATTAGGGGGCAGCACCTGTTAGACCACAGGCTGAAGGCAAGACCAGGAGCTTGCGGGGGGCCTCAGGAACCAGGGGAATGAGCCCCAAGCTTTCACTCCTCCTCTTGGTTGTCAGAGCTCCCGTTTCCCCCAGTGTTTGCTCAATGCAAACCCAGCTGGCCTATTTCATCAAGCTGTGGATCCCTATCTCGCAGGGACAGAGTCAGAAGTAGGTAAATTTAAGAACTATTTCCCCACTATCCTTTTGAGCAGTGAGGAGGACTGTGCGACTGACACAGACCAGGTCTCTATCCTGGCCCTCTCAGACGTCCAGTCTGGAGCTCATCTCCAGCTCCAGTTTCCCCACCTGCAGAGCATGTCCTTGGATAAGTCCTTGGAACTCTGCCCAGTTTGACTTCTGGATCCCAAACAGGATGCAAGGAACAGGTTTACCCATCTGTGTTTTAACTGATCTACCATCAATCCTCCAATACCACCATTTTATCCAGGCCAGTCAGCTTCTATAGCGTATAATAAATACTGTAGGGGTTTACACGTCCTTTGCTACTTTCTTAGTGAGTTTAATCTAAAAATAAAATCTTGATTCCCTTCAAAAGTAGCAAATTGGTTATTTTTCCTGGTCTGCTACCGTCCAATGGAACTCAATGGAACCCCCGTGAAAAGGAATCAGCTCTGGCCAGCTCCTGTGAGTTCTCTCTCCCACAGGCTCATGCCCACAGCCTCCCGAAGGTTCATGTGGGACCTGGATGGACAGCCTTGTTCTGAGGTCAGCCAGCACCTGCCACTCCTCTGTCACAGTGCATAAGGACAGCTGTGTTGGGACAGGAGTTTAGGAGGCTGAGCAGGTCCAGGGCTGGATGCTACCATGCAGCACCCATTTTCCTCCTCCTCTTACTCAAGTCCAGAGGTACTGGACAGCCTGTGCTGGGCTGGGTGAGAAGCCCCTTCCCTTGGGGAAGCTGATGGGAATCAGACTTCCCGCCTGTGGCTGTCATTTAACAAATATATGGTTTACACAGGCTCTGCAACAATCAGGATCACGGAATTAGGAAGTTAGATTGCTCAGGGAAAAGGCAAATGGAAAAACCACCTTTCCTTATAGGAGACATTTACGGGGACACTTCCTTTCATTGTCTCATCTATGCTCCAAGTTGGCAGCTGCTCCTCCAGGCTGTCGGGGGCGGGGGGCAGGTGGCAGCCCCCATCAGGAGTATCAATCAATCAAACATACAGAAGCCTGAGGCTCTGTGCGCAAACAGGGGCGGTGTCCCTGCTGAGACATGGTCCAGCCACTGATAGTTGTTAAGGTTTCTTTTTTTAACAAAACGAAGAACTGTGGGTAGAGAGCAGCGTATTATGACAAACATGCCATTCAATTTAGTTCCCTCTGGGAAGAACTCTGTCAGGCAGCTCAGAGGAGGTTTGGTTCTGTTACATGCAACGGAAGTGATCCTTGCCTTACTGTAAACAGCTGTGTTCTTAAGCAGAGTGCTACGAACTTCTACAGAAGGATTTTCCCACTGGGTGTACACTTACTACCTTTAAGTCAGGAAAACCTACAAAGACCATGTAACGTAAATGCACCTTGAAAACACCCAAACGACTTGTGTATGTGCAGTGTGATCACAGGGACAGACATCATCTTCCGCACATGCATCTTACCTGGGAGAAGGAGGACGAGGGAGGGTTAGGGTGGAGGGATTCCAGGTCATTGACAGTATTTTATATCTATTCTGTTGTTTTTAAAGGAGGGCATCTAACGTTGCCATGGAAAAAAATTTGGTATCTGTCAAATCTGGATAGAGCTCTTAGCAGCGGATGATTTCCTGCAGGCTAGAACTATTTCATAAGTAAAGGATCTAAAATTCACAGAGGCACAGATGTGAAGGCCACCATCACTCAGGGATCTCCAGGTGCCGGAGGAGTAGCGGAGGGCCCTCTGGGTGAGAGAGGGTCCTTTCCATCCTAATGGCTACGTGCAGGCAGCACCACTGGCTGCGATCCACAGACTGAGATGTGAGCTCAGAGTGATAAGTGGTGGGTGAGACCCAAATGAGGGCTTTCCTAGACAAGAATGACTCTGTCTTATTAATAAATACACATACAACATTTAGGATCAAACTGAATGGTTCCTGCTATGTGAACAAAGAAGGGTTATTCAATGTGACAGAGGTATTTATTCTTGTTAAATCAATCTATAATTCTAACACAACTCAAGTTTTTTTGAGGGGGGTGGCAGGGAGGGGGAGTAACTGAGTTGATTTTAAAATAATGGGAAAAACTGACGTGAAGAAATGGCCAGAAGGATGGAAAGACGTGGGCGTGAACTGGCCCTACAACACACTATAATGCAACAGCGGATGGGCAAGAGCCAGCACAGGGACTGAGGAGGGGGCATCGAGGGCTCACCCACTGCGACACAAGCATAGCTGGGGACTTGGTCTATGACACAGGTGGTTCTTCCACAATTGACAGTTTTTCAATGAACAACACTAAGAGGATTGGGGAAGCCTCTAAAGGTAACTGGCCCCTCCTCAGCCATTTCCTTGACCAAGCCCTGGTGTGGGGGAGTCAGAGGCCAGCTGGGTGACTGGCTTGTCCTGCCCTGTGGTGGGACAAGCCTTTCAACTGGTGCGTCCCTGGGGAGGGCCCACCTAAGGCTTGTTGGCCAGTGTCTTGGCACGTACTGGGCATGAGTGATAAAGTGGAAAGTGATCCCTGGAGGGGGAAGGCAGGTGGGCTGGAGG